ATCTCCCCTGTCTCTGCTAATTTGATTTGCCAACTGGCTTTCCATTAAAATGTACTTCTATATATACCACCTGTGAATACACTGGAGCATGAATCACCATATGAGATAAAAACATATCAAAATGCACACTAATGTGGGTAAATGGTACTGAATGTATTTCATCCTCCAGATCTAGAGCATATACTAGCAAAACCTGTTACAGCTCAACTAAGGTTAAAATCTCTTTTCAAATCATTGCTCTGCATCAGTTCTCAGAAGACATGATACAGCACCACACAAGTAATGGTTTAGCAGGAGGCCAAGGAGTGCTAGTTACAGAGAAAAGCCTTGCTTTTCAAAGGATAAAGGGGTCCTCCAGAGATTGCTGTTGCTTTTAGGCTTTTACTTTAGGGAAGGACATTACAATAAGGAAATACTGTAGGGGGGGCCGGAGAGATGGCTCAGTAGAATAAGTGCTTCCCTGGCAAGTGCAAGGACCTGAGCTCAATCCCCGGTTCTGCCAAAAAAAAAAAAAAAAAAAGGAAATACTGTAGGGGTGGGGCTGGAACTCAGTGTAAGGGCAAATGATTAAAAGGAGGGGAACCCGGCATTCCAACCCTAAAAAAACCAAAAAAAAAAAAAAAAAAAAAAAAAAAAAATCAACTTACAAGTACAGTATAGGTAGATATATGCATGATTTTATCTTATAATCTAGATAATATATTAGAATAAAGGTGTAGTGAATTCATTTTCCTTTTCAAATGAAAACCTGACGAAAAGCAGTATAATAGTTAGGAATGCTAATGATCAAATGAAATAATTTAGATGAACCTTTACCCTCTGCAAGGATTGGGAACTGGCCAAGTGGCCAAAAGGAAGCTCAATGTGCTATTTTATTTATTTATTTATTTATTTATTTATTTATTATTATTTTGGTGGAACTGGGGATTGAACTCAGGCCCTTGCACTTGCCAGGAAAGTGCTTAGTCTACTGAGCCATCAATGTGCTATTCTGTGAAAAATAGCATTCAGTTCCATGGTGCTAAACGTAGTTCTCTTTCTGCCATATAAATCCTCTACTTCTTACCACTGATCCAAAGCTTTGCTAAAACTCTGCTTCTGGCCTGTGTTTTGGGATCTGTTACTTTACTGCCACCTCCTAATCCCTGTCCCCTGAAGTTTCTGTTTCCTCCCCACTGTCCCCTGAAATCTCTGCTTCCATCTCGCTATCCCCTGAAACCACGGCCACCTTCCCGACACCTGGAGCTTCAAAGTCCTTCCCGTGGTCCTTCCGGCTTCGGCTGCTCTGCGGCCGCAGCAAGCTGCCCGCGTCTCGGGTTGTGCCATTTCTCCTGTATTACTGTAACTGCAACAGTACAGACATCAAAACAAATACCCAGCTTCCCTTTGAGAAAGACCATTCCCTTCTCTTTGGAATCAATGGCCTCGCCCAGTTGCTCCAAGAATAACTAATGCTTGGCATTTCAGTTGAGCAGCGTAAGATCGTGGTCACAAAACCGGCATCTGAGTTGACCAAAGAGCGCTAGTCTACTGACGTGGCTCCTAAAATGCGCGCCAGTGCGCAGCCAGGGCCTCCACAGCTCCCGTCTCCTCTATCCGTTTCTCAACTGACCATTTGAAGTGGCCAATGGCAGCGGGAGGCACAGAATCCAAACACCAGATAGCATCTTTGCTAGAAGCCTTTAAAAAAATTTTTTTTTCAAATTTTGGGCCAGCAAGATAGCTCAGTGGACTAAGTGCCTGCTTTGGCAAGCACAGAGACTAGGGTTCAATCCCTGGTCCCACATGCCACACCAGTTCCACCACTAGGACGTGCTGAGCAGGTGACCGAGTCGGGGTGTGCTGGTGCATGCCTGTAATCCCAGGGCTGGGTGGCTAAAAACAGGAGGATCACTAAGAGTCTAAGCTTTTTAAATATAAAAAATATATACATTTTCAAATGTATTTGGTACAGGGTCTCACTCCGCAGCTTGGACTCATTGTGATCCTCCTGTTTTCAGGCTCCTCAGTGCTGGGATTACAGGTGTACGCCACCATGCTGGGGCTCAGTGGCTGGCTCAGTGTGCTTAGTCTGCTGAGCTATCTCACCGGCACTTGCTAGAAGCTTTTATTATTTCTGTTGGAGAAGGGAATCCTATTTGTTTAAATTTAATTCCCACTTTTGGCTCCACTTGTGCTGATATTCTTTCTTGTGTTGATATAAGCAGATGCAAACCAGTGTCCTTCCAGCTCTGCCTGTCCACCCAGAGTGATGAATGCAGGACTCTACATCCTTTGGCAGACAGCTTTGTACAACCAAATCAACCTCAGGGATATCTAACCCATGTGCAGCAACATCGGTTGCCACCATAACTCCAAAAATCACCATTTCTAAAACCCTTCAGGGTGACTTTCCTTTGCTTCTGTGAAATGTCACCGTGTAATGACTGGGCATCCTGCTTTAGGGATGCATTCTGTGACAGCTCCTGGGCTTCCTTGTTGATTTCACAGAAGACAGTAGTGCGCTCTTGATGGCCACTGTATTCTTCGTGGATCACGTCTCCGATAACTGCTGCCCTCTGAGTCCAGTGACACTTGACAGCCAGATGCTTCACAGTTATTGCTGTTTTCTCAGTCTTTCTGCCAGTTAGGCCCACCTGTTCATATGTAGATTTCATGTATTTCTTAGCAGCATTAAATACCCAACTTGGGCAAGTTAAAAAAAAAAAAAAAAAAGAAAAGAAAAGCAAAGTTTGAAGACTGTCTTCAGAATCTTTCTTGTAAGCCACACAAAGAATCTCTTCTACTTGAGAAAGTAGAAGCAAAATCATATCCAACATCTGGTTGACTTCATCCAGAACAACACACTTAAGTTGGGAGAGACCCAGCTTGCCATTCTGTAAGTGGTCTTTGACATGACCAGGAGTCCCACCCAGGATATCAATCCCATTTCACATTCATTCACTTTGACCTCCCTCTGGTGTTCCACCATAAAAACAAGCCACTGCCAGCTTTTTCATGATGTCACTGGAGTCTCTGCTAACTTTTTTTTTTTTTTCCTGGAACCAGGGATTGAACTCAGGTCCTTTTGCTTGCCAGGCAAGTGCTTATTCCACTGAGCTATCTCCCCTGTCTCTGCTAATTTGATTTGCCAACTACACCGTAGGTGCAAGAACAAGTCCCTGGGGGCACGGCCTTTCTTCCTGTCTTGCAGCTGTTCCTGAAGTCTCTCTATCAAAGGAATGGCAAAAGAGAGCGTCTTCCCTGTGCCTGTCTACGCCTGCGTAATTAAGTCTTTCCCACTATAGACATGGTGAAAGGTCTTCACTTACATTGGAAACAGGAAGGTCACCCCTCGAGCTCTGAGGAGCATAACATTCTCCTCAGATAGGGCAAAATTAGAGAAAGCACCTTCTTTTTGTTCCATGGGTATTTCCCGCTCTATCTCACTGTTCTTTTCTTCCCTGGTGGCACCACTGGAATCAGTTTTAGGAGGAGAGAATCCATTTTTCATTCTGGGGCTTTTCCCTCCAATTTGTCCATTCATTTCTTTTTCGTTCTTCACTGTTTTTGGCTTAGGAGCACCCATGTCTTCTTCAGAAGGCTCCTTTTTATTGCTTTTCTGATTTTAGGAGAGACAACTTTCTCTTCAATGGGCTCCTTTTTTTTTGGTACTTTTAGTTTTAGGGGAAATATCTTCATCTTGAGGTGGTTCCTCTTTTCTTTTTGGCCTTTTTGGGTTTAGAAGGATTTGTGTCAACCTCAGAAGGCCCTGCCTTCTTTTTTATTTTTTCAGAACCAGAGATTGAACTCAGGCCCTTGCACTTGCCGAGCAAGTGCTTATTCTACTAAGCCATCTCCCTGGCCTCCCTACTTTCTTCTTAGCACTTTTGGCTTTAGAAGAAATATTTTCTGCCTTTCCCTGGTGACTCCTCAGTCTTGGTAGATTTTGGCTTCCCTTGTCTGCCTTTCTTCTTATTTCCTTTCTTTTCCATGGTCACGTCTGATTCTAAACCGGTATTAATACGAAGTTGTCCCAGCATCACTCAGCACATGGTGACTAGGCCGACTGGTCTCCTCAACCCTGTGCAAACGAAGCTCAAATAAATTTATTCTAGAGAACTGTTTCTGAGTTTTTTTGTAGATGGGAAACAGTAAATTATATGTTTTAAAATGGCTCACTAGATAGCTCAGTGGACTAAGAATCTACTTAGGCAAGCGCAGGGACCGAGGTTCAGTTCCTGGCACCACTATGAGTCTGAGCTCTGCGTAGTGAGACCCTGTACAAAATACCTAAATGAAAGGAAAAAAAAAGTTTTTTTTACTCTGGAAGAACAGAAATACCTGGCAGTCTTTGACCAATGACCCAAATGAGAACACTGAAAGCCACCGCCACACCCAGACTCTGCTGCTGGCTCAGTGCACCCTCGGGGCAGGGCCGGTACTGCAGGCAGGACCAGGGATCAGACCCTGGTGGTTGTGCTTGCCAAGGCAGGCACTTAGTCTGCTGAGCTATCTCCCCAGCCCAAAACATAAAGCTTATCACATTAGTCATTTAAAATTTTTTGAATTATGGTGAAAAAATCCTTATCATTTTTTT